TATGTTTATTCTATTATTTAAGAAATTGACACGAAAGCTTTGCTTGGAATGAGAGATATATGTACCTTGGCAATCTTTTATATCTTCTATGTATAAATAAATTTTTGGTAATACTGTATCAATCTCAAGTTATAAAATACTTTTAAATAAAAACATGTATAGTAAAATTTATTAAATATATTATACAATTTTATTTTTTAAAAAAATATAAACTTTTAAAAATAATTTTTATTTAACATTCCATAATCTGAACACAAAAATAGAACTTGTGCTTGTAATTTAGTTTTATGCATTTTTAAACCTACACGCGCAGGGTTAATCTAGTTTATAATGATATTTATATAACAATTAATATTTTAGTTAGTTAATGCATTAATTAGTTAATTGTATTTGTAATTTAGTTGATGCATTTTTTAAACCTACTCGCATAATTTAGTAATTGTGTTAATGTGTTTGTCCATTTTAGTTAATGCACTTTTAAATTGTGTGTTCAAAACGATATTTTTATCTTTGCGCGTTTCCGTCCTCGCTCTCAGATCTCCGATCCCTCTAGAAAACCAGTGGAGGTGGGTGAGAAGAGCAATTAATTTTCTGCATTTACAACAAAAACTTATTTTTGACTGAAAAAATAATGTGATTTCTTTTTTGATTATTTATTTAAAGGACAAAGAGTGATACTTTTAGATTTGTCCAAGAGATAACATAATAATAGAATACAACGAGGAGGAAAATATGTATGTTTTGTTCATTGTTACTGTGATATTTTTAATTTTGAATAATTAGATTCATGATATTAAAATGATTATGAAATTACATAAATATAAAATTAATTAAAATTATATTAAAACGATCATTTATGGTCAAGAGTCAATGGCTATTGTAATTATTAATTTTGAATATAATAAATAATTATAATATTATTAGTTTATTTTTTGTTATATTCAAATACATGAAATTAAAATATTTACCTAGTCTTAATGAGTTTGATTCCCTTTCAATTATGTAACTATCTCTGATATATTTTTATCTTTGGCATGGACCAATTACCCATAATATTGACACACCTACACATATTTAGACTCCTACCACTATCAAAAAAGAAAAAAGACTTTTGACAGCGGCAAAAATCCAAAGCCACAAAAATTTATTATAGTGACCAAACTTTTAGTGGCAATCCTCATTTTTTTTTTTAAAAAAAAGAGAGTCATCTTATGTTACATCAACTGACACCTTGTGCCGTGTGTGCACCTCCTCATGCCATGGCACGTGCCACATCACCTTGTAATGTGTGTGGCATATCATAACATATCACCTGACAACTTATGCCATATCATGCCACGTCACCACTGCGTGCCATGTCACATGATCATTATGAAATATGCCCAAACTAGGATTTGAATTCTTGATCTCCACCTCTTAAACCTTAAATTCTTCTTTGCTAATTGAACGATAATACACCTGCAGTTATTACATGCATAATTATATAAATTATTTTAATTTTTAATTATTTTTTATAAAAATACTTTTGGTAGCGACAGTTTTTCGCTACTAAAAGTAAAATTATTTTTTTATATAAAAATACTTTTGGTGACCACAGTTTGTCGCCATTAAAAGTAATTTTTAGTGGCAAATATTAAAAATTGCTGGTGAAAGAGGATCTTTGACAATGACATTTAAAAGTCACAACTAAAAATTGAGTTTTGGTAGCAACTTTTAATGACAACACAATGTTATTATCAAAAGTCTTCTTTCAGCGATGACTTCTAATTGTCGTCGCCAAAAGTAGACATTTGATGGTGACTTTTATTATTGCCGCCAAAAGTCTTTTTTTTTTTCAAATGTACCCCATGCATTACCTCTTACATTGATGTATGTTTGCAGTGCATGTAGGATGTAAAAAGTCACGGTAAATTTTAGGTTTTGGTGGGTTGTCCTACAAGAAAGCCCATTAAACGCTCCAATGATATTGAGTGGCATCGCTATAGTTGAGGTGATATTGTGGTGGTTCCAAAGACATAGCTAGCAATCATCCATGGTGTTCTATTCTTATTTTCTATTTTTTGCTAGTCTGGAGATTATATCTCATTGATGTAAGACAATTGCATATATATTTGGTGGAAGGTGATGATCTTCCAAACAACATTGCAATCCTATAAAGATGCATATCAGTGTTGTTCTAGAATTAATGCGCAACAGAGGCATCGGTGTCCTTATAACATACATCTTCTCCCTGTTCAAGGTCACATTGTGACTGCAAAGAATCATTAAGAGCCGAGCTTGTTTTGATCTGTTATGTAATAATCATTTTATTTTAATATAAATTTGAATTAAACCATCATGAAAGCAAAATAAAGAGGGAGGAAGGCAGCCCAGACAAAGTGTAAATTTGATTAACTATGCTCTAGTATCACAAAAGAAGTCACGAGAAAAATAAAGGAGACGGGAAAAATGATGTTATGACGTACTTTATTAATATGAGGAGCTTATAATATATAGATAAATCCAATAATAATTAATAAATATCCTACTAATATCTAATGTGTACAAAATATTATCTAAGCCTAAACGGAATAAATTTTACTAGATAACATATTTAAACAAAATAAATCTTCATAAATAATATAATTTAACACACCAGACAATATTTGAAGCAAAACTAGTAAGCCTTTATTATTATAAGTTCCCTTAAAATGGCATTAAATGTCATTCCCCCCGGTTTTTTTTTTTTGTTTGAACATTATAATGATAGGTGGATAATGTTCTTTGCTTTGTTCGTCTTCTTCTTTTGTACTTTAACTTGTTTTCTGGTTGAATGTAGTTTTTTTTTTTTTGGCCCGAAAGTTGAATGGTAGTTCAGTCTACCTAAATGTCCCAAGATAACGTCATATAGCTCTCATATTTTTTCATTGTTGTGGTATTCATTTACCAGGTTCACATAACATTGAATTTCAATTATATATTTTTTAAAAAAATTAATTTTATTTGAATTTTCTTAGTTTTGATTTTATTTATTTTTGCTCTTCACAATACTTTTAATCTTATGAAATTATTTTTCTTTAAAAAGTTCTTTTGATAACCTCTTTAAAATTTTATTAATTTGGTCAAATTTTAAATTTAATTTTTCTTTAAGAAGTTTTTTTGATAACTTCTTTATATGGTGTTTATCTTAATTTTTATCTAATAAAGTGAGATTTAAATTTAAATTTATTTGCTTAAAGTTTCGTACCTTGTTGCTCTTGGAGATCAAAGCAGTCGTATAAACATCGTCGTAAAGTTTCGCAGCATCAGCGATGATCTCTACCCACAGGAGTCTTAGTTATTATGGAAAATGATAGTTAGGTCTCATAACTTGAATTTATAATAATGATAGTTACGTATCTAAAACATTATTAAAGGATAAGTTTATTGCATACATGAGATAACTAATTATTTATATCATTTCAACAGGTATATTTTTCCATGCCTGATCATTATACAATTTATAAATATACATACAAAGATTTTATTAGTTATTACAATTTAATTAAAATAAATTTACTTAATCAATCGGAGGATTTATTTCAGATTATAACCGAGGCTTCACAAAGTCAGTGATCCCGGCTACGCACTAATCAACCGAAACACTCATGCTTCCGCCCACCACCACGTGAAGGCAGCCAAAGTTAATTACCCTAGCGATGGACTTAAACAATGCTTGAGTTGCTGCACTGTACAGGTCGTGCTTGCCTTTCTCATCCCCCAAGAAAAAACATCCTCAATAACCAAAAGTATGTCATCGCGTTATTTATTAGGCTCTTCCAAAACGCCTTGACTTAGCTTCCACTATGCCGACTAAAGACTATGGATACGATTTAAAGCATTTAATTCTCACAGGGACCTGATATTCCTTTCTAATTTAATTTAATTGTAATTGTTAATTTTTTTAACTATACTTGTTAATTTATGAATATGAGTTGCAAATTAAATGAGTTGATATGTTAATAATTATATAAAACTTGATATCAATTTTTCAATTTAAACAACAACATCAGTTGTTAAATTGTTAAATTTACTTATTAATTTATAATATGAGTTGTAAATTACTGACAGATTTTATAATTTATAAATGATGTTAGTAAATTAAATAAAATTAAGTAAATTAATAGCTAATGTTACTTATTGTTTGATAAATAAATGTAATTTATAAGTAATATTGATAATTAACAAGTACAGTAAGAAAATTAATAACTAGTGATTTGACAAAATACGTGAAGGATATTTTAATCTTTTTACAGTTAAAATTTTTTTGACTTTTTTTTTTAATTGAACTAAAATTTTAAAATGTTTCTGAATTTATTTGAAATTAAATCTCTTCCTCTACTCCCTAATTGAAATGTCCTAAAATTTTGTCGTCTCTCCCAGCGGAGCTGAGACGAAACTTCCCAGAAGGTGCAAAATCCGTTTCCAAACGGAACCGTTGGATCAAAAGGTTGGATTTGGACGGCAGAGAAGGTGGGTATGGAGGGAGCAAGCCCGGCCTATATAAGGCTCAAGCTTGATTCACTTCAATTACATATACCCCTTCTCTTCCCCGTCAATGACTTCCGGAGAAAACTACCTCCCACCACTAAGCATGGCAGACTTGGCCGCTTGTCATCCAGCTCGCCGAGAAGGAAATGCCTCAGTCAATGGGTTATCGTCACAAGTTCAGCTGTTCCCAACCTTTCAAAGGCCTCAAAATCGCCGATTGTTGCGACTTAACGGCTAAAACCGCCGTCCTGTTGAGACCCACATCGCCCTCGGTGCCTATGTTCTGTTGTGCTCCTCCACGCCAAACGATCCTGTTGCGGCTGCCATCATCGCACGTGGCAGTGCCGCTGTGTTCCCTTGGCCTCTTGCTTGGGGCAACGGTGGTGCTCCCCATCTGATTCTTGTCCCCGGCGAGATCCATTGGAATAATACTGTGGGTGTGTCAAAGGAGATGGTCGCTGATGCCAAGAAACTTTACGAGTATATTTACATGGCTTTCTCCAAGAGCAAGGTACGTAATTAAAATATATGATGAGTTTGACAGCAATTAAAATCTATTACAATGGCTTTCTCCAAGCGCTTTTGTTCTGTGTTTGGTACAGGTCACTTGCACGTACGGCTTTCCCGATTTGCTTATGAGAGCCACTAATGGGACTATTTCCGGCAAGTTTGTTGTTGTGTATGGATTTGGGGATGGTCAGAGCTCTACTGATGCAACTTGGTCCACACGCACGAGTGGCTACGACAGCTCTGACCAACGAGGATGTTCTCCCTGAGGGTGACATATTTGTTAACACTGTGGGTGACAAAGACACCATCGTCAAGGTTAATCACATGAAGAAGATGAAAAATGATGCCATTATTTGCAGCCTGGGTGATTTTGACAGTACTGGAATTGACATGCGCGAGCTTACTACATATCCAGACGTGAAGCCCATAACCATGGAGGCTGGAATAGACAAATGGGTCTTCCCTGAGTCTAACACGGGCATCATCATATTAGCTGAGGGACTTCCGATGAAGATGGGTCTTTCCTTTGCGGACATGGAGCCGGGTCGAAAAATGAACCGGGTTCGGGTTTAGACGATGATGAGGTTGTGGCTTCTCCTTCAGTTGCCAACCTTGAAGCTGATCATGGTCATGAATCGACCAATGATGTACGGCCTGAGTCCATTAGCTTGTCTATTAATGGAGGCGATCATAATACAAACCCCATCACTTTAGGTGCGGACCATGGAGCCGGGTCAACAACGGCATCTCCTTCAGTTGCCAACATCGGAGCTGATATACAGCCTGGGTTCACTAGTGTGTCCATTAATGGAGGCGATCATAATACAAACACCATCACTTTAGGTGCGGACCATGGAGCCGGGTCAACAATGGCATCTCCTTCAGGTTCCAACATCGGAGCTGATATACAGCCTGAGTTCACTAGTGTGTCCATTAGTGGAGGCGATCGTCCAAGCCTCATCGCTAATGATGGGATTGGGATGAGCTTTGATATGATGGGGATGCTGCCTCGCAATTGGCGTATCTTTGTGATTCTTGTCATATTGCTCACTTTTGTCGCTGGGATGGTTTCCAAGTTTGTGTGATCGGGTTCTTCTCTGGATCTCTCTCTCTCTATATATATATAAATAATAGTACCATCTAGCATGTCTTGAGCACGTTGGGTGCCACACACGTGTGTGTGTGTATATATATATTCGATCACGCAGATGCTAGTTAGTCGAGTTGGATTCAGTGCACGCTAGCAACCATATATACATGAGCGCGCGTGCAATATGATGTGTGTTAATTAATGTGGGCTTCCATTGATGAAACAACGAGAAAAATTGCTTGCAAAGGCAATTTAGTTTTTTGAAGCACGCTGCGTGGTATTATTATTTTTATTTAATGCAACTGATTATTCCATGACTCAAACTTGAGACTCCATGATAAGTTAATTTAACTCCCTAAGCTAATTAAACTAAGCAGATATATAGTATTTATTTGTCAAAGTAATTCTTAGATCTTCTTAGCTTCCACACTGGACCAATAAACGTTTAAATCTAATTGGCTGAACGAGTAAAACGTGACGTGAGGAGACTGAAATCTAATTTAATATTTTTCACGTGTCAAAAATTATTATTATTTTTTTTAAACGAGTGTTGGAGCTTGCCCTAATCTTGAACCCTGACCTCCTAACTTAGGAGAAAGGCTAGTCCCATTTAAAATGGGGTCCCTCATCACCAATCCTCAAAATTATGGGAGGGGGTGTCTCCCTTTCATTTTTCTCCTTTAGAAAATACAATTTCTCTAACTATTCCTTCCTCACAAAAATCTCAAAATTCATTTCATTAAATAATTTTGCTGTCCAATAATTCCTTTAGCTTCATTAGACTCTAAAGAGCCTAACTAAACCCATTAACCCCTTAATTACTCCATAATTTCCATTACGACTAAATTTAAACTAAAACTTCTAAAACAATTAAACCTCAATTCCACCTATATGAACATAAGCCAAACATTAAATTCAGTTTTAAAGTGGTTATAATATCATTAACCACTTTAAAACCCCCATTTTAACACATCCTAACCTTAAATTCTCTAAATCAAACATTTGAACAAATCTAAACTGATTAAACACTTAATCTAACTCTATTAACATATTTAAGCTCAAATTAACTGGTTAAAACTACCCAAAATTCGAATCTATAAAAATCCTAATTTTCCACTGTCAGAACTTCAAAATAAAGTGGAAAAAGCTTTTTAGAAAAATATTTAGAAAATACATCTAGCCTTAGAAAACTTTAAATCATACTAAAACTATCTTATAATGGAACCTAATCTTAAAATATTGTTAAGTCATATATCATTGATATAATCTCGTTTTAATTATGAATACATTTTTTCAGTACAAAAGAACGAACATTGCTCTGAACCGGTGACAATGGCGTCTTTCCTCAGCCACTGTCTTTTGTCCGACTTTCTGGTGGGTTTGAGATTTGTGTGGGTCCCACGCGTTAAAACCCTACCATTCACCTTCTCTCTCTCTCTCTTTTAATAATATAACAACATTCATGTTACCGAAAAAAGAAAAATAAACATATAACAACGTTCAACAAACACCTTACCAGGGCACCAACGTCGTTCTCTTTTTTTTCCCCCTTCATTTACTTCATTATTTTTTTTTTCAATCTCTCTTTTTGTCCTAAATGTCCCATTCATCATTTTCTTTTCCTTTCTCTTTTCCTTCCCTTAAAATTCCATCCAATATATATACGCACACTAAGCTATCCAAAAATTTAAGGAATTAAGTTAAGTTGAGGTATTTTGTTCAAATAAAATTTTCATAATATCTAAATAGTTGTAATCTCTTAAGTGAGAAATGATTTTCATAATTTCTTTAATCTAACTTAATCTTATTATTTTTTTCTCTATTTCCTAAATATCAAGACTTGGTACTATATCATTGAAATTTAACTCTTCTTGGTTACATTTTTTATATAATTATTATGCATGAAAAAAATGACATTAAATTTAACAATATTAATAAATATTTACTGCTGTTAATTTTGTACTCCTTTTTCAAAAAAATAATAATTTGATGCCTTCAAAAATAATTATAATCCATTTATCTTGATAATAATTTTTCTCAATTTCACATTCTATTTCATTAAATCAAAATCTTATGTGCCTCTATATCTTGGACGACATAAATTAAGTTATACTAAATCTCAATTTACTTTATAAATCATATTCTAATGTTACTTAAATTCTAAAAGTAAAAATTGAGATGTTACATTTAAAAAAGTTGTATTGAGAAAGTTATGCGTGTGGGATGGTATATTGTGGAATTATTGAATATGAGAAATTGTAAAACTATGTGATATTGTATTTATTGGTTCAATGATTATTTTATTTGCATGACTATTATGGGAAGTATTGGAAGATTTGTAATTGTTTTAGTGCCACGTGGCATCCCCCATTAGAAGTCTAATAAGTGGTTTACACGGGCTAGTCTATCTTTAGTCAGGTAAGTTAACACTAAGTGAGGGCTTCGGCTCAAAGTCAAATGAGGAAAATAAGGGTAGTTGTTATTATGTTTTAAATTCTCCACTTGGCAAACTTACAAATAATTTGTTAGCATGTATTATCATGAATTGGCATTGGCTATTAAGACTTTTAAATCTCACTCTATGTGGTTAACACATATACATGAATTATATTTGTGTACTCTATGTGGTTAACACGTATGTATGAATTATATTTTGTGTGCGCGCGCGCGTGTGTGAACACATACATTCCCTCAAGACTATAATATATGATATTAGTAATTATTTCATGATTCCAAAGAAAAGTTAAGTAAAATCTTAATTTCTTAAAAATTGAATATCTTTTCAATTATACTTTTATTAAATATTTTATATAAGTATCTTAACAATGATAATTAAAATTTTAATGCATAATTTTTTTAAAAAGAGTAATAAATGGAGTAAGAGCATATATAGTTGAAAAAACAATTCAAAAAATTATCCAATACTATACATTTTGAATTAGGGAAGGCTTCTAAAAAATCCATTATATTATGGTTCAACGGTACACACCTTTCGCTTTTTGTATATTCTTTTCAACATTTTTTTCATGTGGATAAGAAAAACTATTAGATTGTTTCAATTTTTAAAAAATATTTTACAAAAAATGGACTATCATTTATTATCCGATCTAAGCATCTTGTAATTTAGGCCAGCTTTTATTTTTTGGAAGGTGGCTTATAATATAAGGGGCTATAAAGAGCATAAGTATGTTATATGATTTTATTTTAAAAGTTTTTAAAATTTTCTAAAAATTACTTATAATTGTGCATAATTTGTTATCTAATAGTTTTAAATTATAAAATTAATTTTTAAAAAAATCGGTAAGATAAATGTTAAAAATTTTAAATTAATAATATATTTTTTGTTTTCAAAAAATCCCCCCTGGGGGCGTGAACTATCAAGGCTCGTTTCGGCCCTGCAATCCTGATAATGGTCTCAACACAGATCCGGCAACTTACCTGTCGTTTCACACGCATCCTGGCTGATAAAATATATTTTGTGTGATTACCCAAACGATAAGATTATATTATTCATCGCTTAAATATAATTAGTTAATTAATTAATTTTCCTGTAAGCTCTCTGACTGCGTCAATCAGTTTTGTGATAGAGATAAAATTGACAGTGAAAACGTTATAGATTAGGCTTTTATCTAAACGGTAATCTGTTTCGAGTTTAATAACTAATTAAAGTGTGTTTGGATAAGGGAAAAAATCAATTTTTTCCCTCTAAAATTGATTTTTTCAACAAATTGTCCAAACAGTTAAAATAAGACAAAAATTGATTCTAGCATGTTACGTGCGCTTTTCCGTAAGCTGATGGAATCAGCTTTTGCCAAAAGTTAATCAAAAATTGTTGGAGAAAATTACAAAAGAAAGCCCACAAGAAAATTACAAATGAAGCACATAATTTAATAAAAATAAAATTAAACTCTTTTTTCTTCTCTTTTTTTTTTCCTTAATAAAATTCAAATTTTATATCCTCAAAAAATTAATTTTTTATATTTAATAATTAAATTATATAATAATTTATATAACTAAAATTGATTCTGATTAAATTATCCAAACATTTTCAATTCTGTTAAAATTAATTTTAGAAAAATAGTATCCAAACAGATTGCGTTATAACATAATCAATTATAATTAAAATCTACCACTTAGGATCCGTTTGGATTTCAGTTGGGTATAATAGATTATGAAAATAATTAATTAAGTGGTAGATTTTAATCATAATTGATTATGTTATAACGCAATCTATTTGGATACTATTTTTTTAAAATTGATTTTAATAGAATTGAAGATATTTGAATAATTTAATCAAAATTAATTTTTAGCTATATAAATTACTATATAATTTAATTTTTAAATATCAAATATTAATTTTTTAAATATACAAAGTTTAAATTTTATTAAGGAAAAAAAAAGAAAAAGAAGAGAGTTTGATTTTATTTTTATTAAATTATGTGCTTTTTTTTTGTAATTTTTTTCCTAGGCCTGTTTTTTGTAATTTTTCCCAACATTTTTGACAACCTTTTGGCAGAAAGCAGACGGAGGGAGCTTCTGGAAAAACGCGCGTTTTGGCCCATAATCGATTTTTGATCATTTTCGACTGTTTGGATAAATTGGCAGAAAAAATCGATTTTGGATCCAAAATGTGCGTTTTCTCCTTATACAAACGGGCACTCAATCAATTATTTTCATAATCTATTATACCCAACTGAAATTCAAACGGACCCTTAATATAAATTCATGATATATTTAAAATATCTCATCATGTTATGTATTAGGCTTCCGCTTTGACTTAGCTTCCACTTAGCCAACTAACACGGATACGATTCAAAGCATTTAATTCCAAGGTACGTAAAACCGGACCGGTCATGGCACTGGGTCATGGGTTATTGGTTCAATCGGGGTTGAACCGGTGGCAAACCGGTCATGATTAAAATAATACAATTTAAATAAAAAGACATTAATTATAAAAATATTCAACCAAATCCAACCACTCAAAAGTCTAACAATAATAAA